GCAAATCATAGGACACACTTCAGACTAGACTTAGCTTTATTTCCATGACAGTGTCTGCTGTTTATTCATCACTTCAGTATTACATCAGTGACGTATTTTCATTTCCCTCACAGTGTCTTTACATGTAGTATTCAAATATATCTGTTTTGTTTTTATGTGAATGGTATCACGTTTTTCTGTTGTCCTTTTTCATTTAACACAATTCATTTATATTCATATATGTTAGTACCTCATCACTTTTTTTTTTAAGAGAGAGAGAAGAAAGAGAGACAGAGAGAATTTTTTAAATATTTATTTTTCAGTTTTCGGTGGACACAACATCTTTATTTTATTTTTATGTGGTGCTGAGGATCGAACCCAGCGTCCCGCGCATGCCAGGCGAGCGCGTTACCACTTGAGCCACATCCCCAGCCCAATACCTCATCACTTTTAATGGTTTCATAATCTAAATGGATATTACCTACCTTATTTAACTATTGATGGACATACGAGGAAGCTTTTAAAAGTTGGCTACTACCAATTTTGCTGCAGTGTGTATCTTTGCACACTTATGCAGATATACCAGAAAGATATCTGAAGTTACTGGGTCAGGGGGTATGTACATTTTTAACTTGTTAATGCCTAATTGCCTTCCAAAAACATTTATTAAATTTATTTTTCCACCAGTAATATATGAAAGTGATCGTTTCCAAGTCTGCCTATTATTATTGGCCATTTTGGTTTTTGCTAGTCTTTTGCACACAAAAAATGCTTTCACTGTAATTTACATTTCCCTCCTTATTAGTGAGGTTAAATTTCTTTTAACTTTCTTTATGGTGTCATTTGTGACTTTTAATTTTTACATAGTCAAATCTTTAGTCTTCTTACTTATGGCTTCTTAATTCTGTGCCTTAATTAGAAAAGTCTTCCCCATCTAAAATTATAGAAATGTTTTCTTCTGGTAGTTTTACTTTTTTTCTTTCCTTCTTTTTCTTTAAGATGCGTTCTAACTTGTTGTCCAGGCTGGGCCCAAATTCCTGGGCTCAAGAGAGCCTCTTGAATAATATAGCTATAGACCTGTGCCACTACGTCCAACTTACTTTAACATTTAATCATTTTCTTTTTCAGTTTTATTTTGGGTTTTGATGAAGAGTAGTTATAGCATTTTATTTTTTTTCTTTTTTCCAGCCATGTTGAAAGTTTTTAGGTTGGTTTGAAATGTCATGCCAAAAGTTTTATATGTATTAGACTTATTTCTGGATTTTCTTCTTGTCTACCAATTGTTGTTTTTTTGGTACCGGGGATTTAACCCAGGGGTACTTAATCACTGAGCCACATCTCCAGCCAGTTTTCTTTTCTTTTTATATTTGAGACAGGGTCTTGATAAGCTGCTTAGAGCCTTGCTGAGGCTGACTTTGATAAGCTGCTTAAGTTGCTGAAGCTGACTTTGAATTTGTGATCTTCCTGCCTCTGTCTCTCCAGCTGCCGGGATTACAGGCCTGGCTTCTATCAACTGTTTTATTCTTATTACCAAAATTTTATTCTTTTGCATTGTTTCTTAGAATTTTAGAATCATACTGTGGGTTCTATTTTTTTTTTTTAACTTTTGGGATTTCTGTTTGGATTGCCTTTTATTTATGGATTACTTGGGGAGAATACATAACTTTGCAATATTGAATCTACCATTTTGGACCTTTTACTAAAAGTCTCTTAAATCAAGTTTTTGTCCTATTATAATATTTTATGGCTTTTTCTTCTAGATTATATACTTTATTGCTGGATTTTTATGTATTTTATAGTTTCTATTGCTGTTTGAATAGGATCCCTGTTTTTGTTTTTTTTTTTAATATTTATTTATTTATTTTTTTAGTTTTCAGTGGACACATCTTTGTTTGTACGTGGTGCTGAGGATCGAACCCGGGCCGCACGCATGCCAGGCGAGCGCGCTACCGCTTGAGCCACATCCCCAGCCCCAGGATCCCTGTTTTTTGATTGTCACTTATAATGTTGTTAGCTGTTAGAATACTAAAACTATTAATTTTGTGTATTTATTTATAACCATCTTATTAGTCTTAATTTTTTAGTTGACTTTCTTGGATTTCCTAAGTATACAATTGTATCACTTGTAAAAACAATGATAGCCTCCACCCCCATCATTTATGCCTCATTTCTTTTCATTGTCTTACTTAAATAAACGGTTAGAGATCCCCAGGACATCATTTTAGAATGGCCATAATAGTGAGCATTTTCTCTAGTTCTTAGCTGTACAAGGAATGCTTCTGTATATTTTAAATTAAATCGATAGCTTGCCATAGGTACCTGAGAAAGGAATTTTATCAAGTTAAGGAAATTTTCTATTTTTTCTCTTATTGAAGATTTTTAATCAAAACTCGATGTTACATTATATCAAAAGCTTCTTTGACATCTATTAAAATCATTTTTTTATGTTGTACTATTCTTGCTTTCTTGGGACAAATACCACATGGTCATGTGTTCTTTATATTACCCTCACTTACTAAATTTTGTTTTATTTTAGAGTGTTTCTTTTTATTTTCATGCACATAATAGGCCTGAACTTCTTTTGACCTCTCTTCACTTATGTTTTTCCTTGCTGTTTAATACTTTATATAGATGGTTGGGAGCTAGGTCTGTCTTGAGGCTGGTAACTTTAAAGATGAAATATTCACTACCTGTTCAATTTTTGCTACCATAATCAAGGACTGTTAATATCATGCCCACTTTTCTCTGATCTGAAACAACTTACTAATTTTTCCATTTATTAATGGTAAGTGGAGATAAAATCTAACTCCTGGTATTGTTGTCAAGATCCAATGAGATGATGTGGCCATTTAGCATTGTTGTGGCTCAGATAAATGTCCATCAGTAATAACCACTATAATTGTTACTCCATTAGGTTGATTTTATCTTAGTCATCTCCAACTGTTGCACAGTATGGTTGTATAACCTCCATAGAAAGATAGAGGACATAAAGATTAGCTTATGATCCAGCCAACAGTGGTAGACATCAGCTCCCTCTGATACACCCCTGGTGGGTCTGGATTTTGTGTCTTGGCAGACCTACCTGGCTAGAATAATGTACCACCTCTGCTCTACAAGGGATCAGGATAGACTGTGTGCCTTGGACACTCCTGCTCTACCTGGAATTTGTTTTCCACATTGGGCATGCTTGCTTACATTAATTATTGAAGATTTTTAACTCGAATGGAAAAATAACTTTTTTTAAAAAAAAGTTCTTTGAGGGGCTGGGATGTGGCTCAAGCGGTAGCGTACTCTCCTGGCATGCGCGGGGCACTGGGTTCGATCCTCAGCACCACATAAAAATAAAATAAAGATGTTGTATCCACCGAAAACTACAAAATAAATATTAAAAACAAATTCTCTCTCTCTCTCTCTCTCTCTCTCTCTTAAAAAAATCTTAAAAAAAAGTTCTTTGAAAAATCAGGATCATAATGTACAATGCTATGGAAAGACAGTCTTTTTTATACAATTGGCCCAAGCATAGTGTGTGATTTTTTTATTTTGACTTTTTAGGAAATTCTTAGATGTTTTATCTCTCTTTTTTTTTTCTTTTCTTTCCTTTTTTTCAATATTAGGGATTGAACCTAGGGCCCCATGCATCTAGGCAAATGCTCTACCCCTGAGCTACATTTCCAGCCTCCATTTTTATTTTATTTTGAGACAGATTCTTGTTAAATTGCCAAGGCTGGCCTTGAACTTGTAATCCTCCTGTTTCAGCCTCCCACATAGCTTGGATTACAGACATGTGCCACCAACCCCCGACTTATCTGTCTTTTTGAAAGTAGCATAAAGTAGAAAATGGAGACTTGTTGCATTCTCATCAAGAAGCAGAATATGTTTTTTTTTTTTTTCCAGGGTTCACTACTTCAATAATCCCTCATCTGATATTTAAAATGTATTTACGTTGAGTCATTTCTTTCTCTTTTGCTGGTGAACCAAGAGATCATGAAATGATTTTGCAGAGGCAGTAGCATTACGTTCAGTTTCTTTTTTTGTATATATCAGATAAGAGGCCTGCAAATGGAAGTAAGTCCGCCTCACATCCTTTGTATGGTGATGGCAGTGATGTTTGCCTTTTAATCATCGGAGTGACATTTATTAGTTCATAAACCTACTTCCAAAGAACCTAAGGTCTTTTTGATGAAAGGTGACTATAAAAGGACTATAAGAGGTTTTTGACAGGCTACTTTTATTTTTGCAAACATTCTTCTTTTTAGTGTTTAGGAACTACTATCTTAAAAGAAACTTGGGGGCAGGGACATGCCAGAACCAAATGGAAGTTAATGCACTCATTTAGAATTAGGATTTCTGAATCTGTAATTAGGAAGGCAAAATAAAATTTTGATTTAAGCTTCTAAATCACCCTCTCTGATTTAGAAGAGCCTCCTTCTAGTTGGAAAAAAATTCACAGATCTGAGGAATAGAAGCAGCACAAGGGGCCTGGCTTTTGGTAAACCTTAATAATAAGAGAAGAGGAACCAAGAAGTAGTTTCCTAGATTCAATACTAGTGGAACAGCAAGGTTTTGGTCCTATTTATTTTTTTCTAGTTCTTTTGTTTTGTTTTGTTTGGGGGTTTTTTGTTTGTTGGTTGTTGGTTGGTTGGTTTGGTACCCGGGATTGAACTCAGGGGTGCTTAACCACTGAGCCACATCCCCAGCCCTATTTTGTATTTTATTTAGAGTCAGGGTCTCACGAGTTGCTCAACACCTAGCCATTGCTAAGCCTGTCTTTGAACTCGTGATCCTCCTGCCTCAGCCTCCCACGCTGCTGGGATTATAGGCATGTTTTGTGCCCAGCTTCTTTTTCATATTCTGTTTTTGTAACTCAGAGTTTTAGGGAATTATTTCATGATATTATGTTATTTGTATTATTATATATAATTATATATTTTGACATACATTAGTACAAATAATTAGACATCTTTTATATATAGTAGTACATATTATTGTTCCATTAAAGTACCAATGGCCTCTTTTTCCAGAGCAATAATGAAATTTCACAGTATGAAAATGGAAGAAATCAATAAAATTATTCGTGATCTTTGGCGAAGTACCTATCGTGGACAAGGTAATTAACATGGTGTGTCACAAACACTCTTCACAAAGCCTTCTTCATAACTTCTCCCCGTATGACCTCTCATTGTGCAAGTATTACCTCCTTGGACCCCTTTCTGAACATCTCTTTGAGATTTTCTAAGAAATCTTATCTTGAAACATAGCAAAAAGAAAATGCAAAGTTTTCTATTCCAAAGCCTGATAGGACTTACATCCTTGGCTGCAGTAGGCATGATATTTAGCTGATGACATAATAGGTTCTATTGAAGTGTAGATAGAGATAAACCCTGATGCGATAAGAAGAAAACCTGCCCAAGGAAAATCTTAGAGAAGCAGCAGAGGGGTTGGGTTATCCAAATTGCTTCTAGCCAGACTGCCAGGGTCTTAAATCTTCCCAGCCAGAGAAATAAGTTCAAAATCAGCCAGTATTTTCCCCAGATGAAATCAGCTTCATGTGTTTCTCCTAGGCTTACTTGATGTAGAAAATGACAAAAGGCTGCAGAGGGTAAAGTATTTTACACTAAAGTATTTTTCTTTCTGCATCAGATATTGAATACATAGAAATACGATCTGATGCTGATGAAAATGTATCAGCTTCTGATAAAAGACGGAATTATAACTACCGAGTGGTGATGCTGAAGGGAGACACAGCCTTGGACATGCGAGGACGATGCAGTGCCGGACAAAAGGCAAGTATCTCGGAATTCTGACAGGAAGAGTACCAGAAAGCACCCAGGGCTGTCCTTGATGGTAGGAAGCTCTTTTCAGCATCTGTGGTTACCCTCTCCTAATGCCAACCAATATTTCCTACAGCATTCTGTATAGTGGCTTTTAAGAGAAGGGCCTGAAGGGTCTCAGGATAGGCTTGTGTAGAGAAAGAGGCTGAACCCATTATCATTTCACAGCATTCCTTCTCAGAGTAAGGTCACTCACTGCCTTATCTACTACTCTTTAATGTGCTACCAAGAAAGAAAAAGATACTTGCAACTGTAAGACATATTCTGATTTCAGAGAAGTAAAAATTCAAAATTAATATTAATTATATTAGTAATAGTAACTATACTATTAATCATAGTAGTGTTAACAAGCCAGATTCTAGGCTGCGCCAGATGAGACATTCCAGTAAATGAGAGAATCTTCTTGAGAAAATAGCCCCCATATAGAACCAACCTTCTACCACCCTAGCCTAGCTTCTGGACCCACAGACCTCAAAAAGAGGGCTCTTGTCATTCAGTTGCCTTGATGCCCACAGGGGTTTCTGTCACCAGCACCACATACACAAGACACAGTTGTCAGGTCAGGCCAGCTGGCTCCACATGAAGTCTCTGGGTGGACAGCCCTGCTTGGATATGGAGCACAGAGCAAAATCACAAAGAAGAATGATATTTTAAAGAGTCAGGATAATGGGGTCTGCATCCTGGGGTAGAAAGCTAGGTCCTTTCACTGTGCACAGGTTTCTACCAAACACTTCTCAGATTAGAAGTAGATTATACTTCATATACCTCTGGACCCTGATTTTCATAAAATTTCAAAAAAGAAAAGTATGCCCATGTTATCTTAATTACTTCTATAGTTTTTTGCTTAAAGAATATACCATGCAGCTAGGCATGGTGGCACACACCTATAATCCCAGTGACTCAGGAGACTGAGGCAGGAGGGTCGCAAGTTCAAAGCCAGCCTCAGCAATTTAGCAAGGCCCTAAGCAACTTAGTGAGACCCTGTCTCAAAATAGAAAGCACTGGGGATGTGGCTCAGTGGTTAAGTGCCCCTGGGTTCAATTTCTAGTCCCCCACACATAAAAAAGAATAAACCATGCATGTGTGTATCATCAGCCCAGAGAGCTGATACCAATTCAAGACATCTGCAGATTACTATCTAAATTGTAGTCTGCAAAAATGACAAATTTATGATCTATAATCAGTATCCCTATTTGCTTTTGTGATTTTTTTACTGTTAATTATAAGTGAATTTGAATCAAGATACCTCTAGATTTAAAATGCTTTCAAAATTACTTCCTTTGTATGTGCATGATACTGGGAATTGTCCCCATGCATGTTCTACCACTGTGTATCCCCATCCCTTTTTATTTTTTGAGAAAGAGCGTAAGTTACCAAGGCTGGCCTCAAATTTGTAGTCCTCCTACTTCAGCCTCCTGAGTAGCTGGGATTACACGGTTGCCTTACTGCACCCAACTCAAAAATACTTTCTGAGCAAAAATAGATTTACTGTAGATAGTAGTAATTGCTTTGTGGTAGTAATTGCTTTCTTGGCATTGGGAGAGAAGGAAAAACAAATGGTTTGGTGGAGGTGGGCCTCAACTGTACCTAACACTGGCTTTTGCTGAGGCTTTAGAGGCCATTGTGAGTGGGTGGTAGTAAAGTTGGCAGCAGGGGATTCAAAGGCAGGAAGGAAGTACCTGTCCCCGAACAGGGAAGCAGTGGCCCTCGTTTCTGCAAGCTGCTGGCCTCCCTGGCCATTATGAGAATGTGTGTACTACTACAAAATCAACTCACTCACAAATTCAGTAGGAGAAAGAATTTATAACTCACATAAATGTACTTTATATTTCACAGAATAGTCCTACACTATTAATTCTGTGTTCCTTGTACTCTCAGTTGGCTTTATTTGAGTCTGAGGGTTTTAGTATTAGGTTTCTGTTAGTCATGAAAGTGCCTAATAGTTCTAGTTACTTGGATTTCCTGCAGGTAAGCGTAAACAAAACCACACTTCTATACTCATCCTGATACTGTGACCCATGATTGTTTTTTCCCTCTTACTTTCTCAAAATTATACATACAAACATTTCAGTGTGGACCAGAACACAATACCTGGTACCAAGTCTCTTTATCAGAAAACCATAAAGGTCAGGTGAAGACTTTTTAAGATCATAAATCTTATACCTTTATTAAAATTATTTGTTATAGCCAAGTGGTAATGCATCTCTGTTGTGAGCCTGTGGTTTCAAGTTTTGATTATAGCTGATATGTTTTTTTTATTGGCGGGCAGGGGGAGAATCAGTGTTGCATTTAGCATTTTATTTCATTGCAAATGATGGGCGTGAGCATGCAGCTGATGGCTCACCTTCCAGAGGGACATAAGAACCTGGTTGCAGGCTGGGCTCTCCCACACAACAGCAATTTCTCTAATGTCAGTGACTTTGTGACATTTACTCACCTTTGCCTTCTGAAGCAATCGTGCCAGTCTGTGGTATGCATCTCACTCCTGGGCTTTTCCCCAGGTGTTGGCCTCACTCATCATTCGCTTGGCGCTGGCTGAAACTTTCTGCCTGAACTGTGGCATCCTTGCCTTGGATGAGCCAACAACAAATCTTGACCGAGAAAACATTGAATCTCTTGCACACGCTCTGGTTGAGTAAGTGTCTCACATTTGGGAGATTGTGATAGTTTTGATCAAGAGAGTTGTGTGGGGTGAACTCCACCTAGATGTGTCCTTCTTGGGGAAACCAGTCGGTGACAGACACTTTTCCTTTTGATAGTAATTCTTCAGATTCCCTTGAAAATGAAATAGTGAACAGCAGCCCCAGACATGTCCTCCTGTGAACCCACACGTCACAAACAGGAGTTGGTGTGCCCTGCTGAGATGTTTGTACATGGTGGTAGTGGGTTTAGGACTGTCTCCCAAGCTTTTTACAGTGCATCAAACAGCTCTGAGGAACAACAAAACTCGTATTCAAAAAGCACACTAGTGATTAAGTAGACTGCCGAGGGTGAAACTGCACGCACCTTTTACCACATTCACCTGTGTGGGCGCAGGCTCCAAGGTTGGGCAGCTTTTGCAAAGGCCCTCAACCCTGAGGTAGAAGGGGATGTTTGGGGGCACTCCCGACTCCAGGAAGACTTTCTGGCAGAGGTGATATTTCCTGCCTGACAGCACAGCATGGGCCAGGGGCCCTAAGCAGCAGGGCCATCCTCAGTCTGCTCTCAGTAGTCAGGCAGGACGAGCAAGGAAGGGCTAGTGCTTTAGAAACTCAAGTGCGTCCAGTTTCAGGCAAGAGCTAAATAACTGGTTAGTCTTTCAGGTCTCAGTCCCAAAGCTGGTTACCTCATCATATAGATGAGCAAAAAAGTGTTCCCAGTGTACCCACTCAGGTCTCCTGTGTGTCATAGAACGGATGCATCTAGTGACTAGTGGTGACAGAATTCTAAGTAGACTCAGCTCTGAAGAAAGCAGTGTTATTCCCCTGTCTGTCATCTTTTTTTTAAAAGAGACAGCTAGCAACAGGTCAGGAAAATGTAGGGGAAGAAGTTGAGGAGTTGAGGCATTCCTCAAACGCCTCCACCTTCTTTAGTAGGAACAACTTTGCGATCTAGAAGAGCAAGTCCAAATTCTTGGCCTGGTTCTTACGGGTCCCTAAGGTGGAATCAGCCATGCATCCCCACTGCCTGGACAGGAGATGGGACTCCTGCCTTACTGGCTGAAGGCCCCTGACCACCACCACCACCTCAACTTCCTGCAGGGTAGCCAGAGGCCCTGACATACACAGCACAGGAAAAGCTTAGTTGCCACATGTAGCAGCAGTTCATGTGTCTGACAAGGTTTGTAGTGACTTTTCCAAATTTTTGCTCTTAAATCATAAAATATTCTAAATATATTGTTTCAGGATAATAAAGAGCCGCTCCCAGCAGCGTAACTTCCAGCTTCTGATAATCACTCATGATGAAGATTTTGTGGAGCTCTTAGGACGTTCTGAATATGTGGAGAAATTCTACAGGATTAAGAAGAACATTGATCAATGCTCAGAGATCGTGAAATGCAATGTTAGTTCCCTGGGATCTTATGTTCATTAGCTGCTTGTTTTTTTTGATTTTGGGTTTTGTGTGTGTGTGTGTGCGCGCAGAGGATTGAACCCAGGGCCTTGCAATATTAGCCAAGTACTCTACCAACTGAGCTACAATCCCCACCAGCTGCTCACTTCTGATATCAACTGAACCAGATGAAGAAACATTCTTTAAAAAAAAAAAACTTGTGTCTAGAATGTTGAATGTTTAAGAGGTTCTGAGATCATAAAGTTGTTTCACATGAAATTTGGACTGATTTCCTAAACTGTGTCCCCCTGCAGCAGCCTCTAACAGCCTACAGGGCTCAGCAGCTTTACAGTTGGACTCAGTCACTCTGCTTCCCTCCATAGGATAAATAAATGTCCCCCTCCCCTTGCTGTTAAGAAGGATGGGCTCCCTTAACTGTAAATCTGTGCAGGTGACCTCTCTGCCTGGGCCTTGGTTTCTCCTAAATCTGAAGTAGTTGAATGGGGTCTTAAGTTTTGACAGAAACCTTAAGTAGTTATCTCATTGAGTACCCACCATCTTCTCTCTCCACACACCTGCCAGATAGTCATCAAGACTCAGGGCTCTCTAGAGAGGAAATTGCCCACTTGAAGCCTGATCTGTCCACCATGGAGAAGGCAGTCATTCTCCTCTGCATCTTCTGTGTATCAGCTCAGCCTTACCGTCAATCCCAACTACTCTTCAAGGGCAGGTCCCAGTGTGGAAGGCAAGCCAGGCTCACACATACTCAGGTCCTGCCTCCAACCAGACCTGGAAGAACAAGCCTCTCATTTCCACTCTTGATGACAATTCTGATAAAGCCCAATACTCTTTTCCATGGAATTGTCAGCTAACATCTTGAAGCCATTTGCAGTTATTCTAATGCTTCCCAGTCACACTTTAGAATTCCACTTTGTGGAGTTTTGTCAGAGTCATTCAGAACTGTGTTAGATCTTGATTCAGTCAAGCTTTGGGCAGATCTGGTAAGCATATTGTGTAGTCTGCCTTTCTCATCCAGGGTCCAGAAGCGGATTGAGCCCTAAGGTCCTATATTATCTGTGCTCAGGCTAAATAGTGGCCCCCAAAGACATCCAGGTCCTCATTCCCTGAACCTTTGAATATTACCTTATATGGCAAAGGTGACTTTGCTGAAGTGATGGAAGCTAAGGATCTCGGAAATATATTATCCCTGGGGTGGTGCTAAATGTAATCATAAGTAACCTAATAAGAGGGCGGCAGAGGGAAGTCAAATTACAGGAGAAGGTGATGTGTTGGTGGAAACCGACCAGAGAGATGCACTTTGAAGATGGAGGAAGGGCCGTAATCCAAGAGATAGAGGCAACCACTAGAAGCTGGAAAAAGTAAAGAAGCATTCTCCCCTCAGAGCCCACAGGAGGAGTCAGCCCTTGACTTTAGTTCATTGAAATTGATTTTGAGTTCTAGCCTTCAAAACTGTTAAAAGAATAAATCTGTGCTGTTTCAAGATGGTATATTTTGGGTAATTTACTACTCAGCACTAGGAAATTAATATAGAAATCAGTTTCACTGCATCTAAAATGATACTAGTTATGTACTATCCTTGAAAGAATTGAGAAAGGAATTGCTTAAATCATGTTCTGAGGTTCATATAAGAAGCCTGGTTGAGAAAAGAAGGTCCAGAGTCTCACCCAAGCTGGGGAGGGCCAGGTAACAGGGTATACCACTCCAACCTTTCAGCTCCTGCCTATTCCAAGCCCGTCTTGTGATAAGGTTCAGTCATCCTACTTAGTTTTTTTTTTTTTAATGACACAACACCTTTATTTTTGTTTGTTTTCATTTTATTGTGGTGCCGGGTATTGAACACATTGGCTCATGCATGCAAGGTAAGCACTTCTACCACTGAGCCACAACCCCAGCCCCCATCCTACTTAGTTTTGACAAACTAAAAATTGCCTCTTAACCAAACTCACATAATCCTGACAAAAGAATCACTAAAAAGAAGAGCAGATCACTGTCACAGTGAGCACAGGCCCAGTGACTCCTGAATGCAATAAAAGCAAATCAACTCCATTCATATATAAAAGCAAACATCTATAGTAACCAAGGGGTGTTTATCCCAAAACACAATAATAAATAATAATAAATCTTGAGAAAATGATAAATCCAATTACAAAATATCAAGGATAATAAACCCAAAGGGGAATAATTCTTACACATGCCTAACATTTGATAAAATTCGTCTCCCAGGTTTAGCATATTTGTAATTCTGTAAATATTTTCTGAATATTACTGTCAAGTCAAAAACAATAACAAATGATGAAATATTTGTCACTTAAATATTAAAACCAATTACCTCCTATCTGTGTGTTCTGAAAGCTCTGGTCTTTGCAATAAAGAATGAGCAAAATGCAATACAAGTTAAACATAATGAAACCAGAATTATGATTTACAAATTAAAACAGACTTTCCATCTAAAATCTAGGCCACACTCTCACAGACCTTTTGAGTGGCCCTTTCACCCTGTAGCACTCCTTTCTGTGGGCTTGGAAATGAGATAGGTACCTTCTTCCTTCTCATTGCTGCTTGGAAACCATGCTCCATTAAATGCCCCCACCCCCAAATGAAGGGGCATTGCAGTTTGGAAGTTAACCATCTAGATTGCCTGGACTTTAAATTCCAACACCACCACTAATCAACTGAGGGACTTTGAGCAAATTAGTTATTCTCTTTTTGCCTCTTCTTCCATACCTATAAAGTGGGTAAATGGTACCTTGTCTTGTAGGGTTGTTATAAGGATTAAATGACTTAGTATTTATAAACTGCTTAGACCTGCTTGACACATAGTAAGCACTATTTTAGTGTGTTCAAGAAAAACTTCACATCTTCAGTTTATTCGTTCTTGTTGCAGTAGTATCCTAGCACCTGGGCTAGTCACCCATAACTGTAAAGATTTTAGCTGCCTTTTCAGTGTCACTCTTTTCAAAGTACTTTCATAATCACTGATGATTTCAATATCCAAATAATGATTTCACATAGCAATAATGACTCGAGAGCTCCTGTTCTTTCCTCTCCCTTGAGAAGATACCCCCATTGTCTTACTTTGGAGCCTGTTTCTTTTAATAACAAGAACTGCAACCCTCTATTGGAGAGTGAAGAATTTCACATTGGGGTTTAAACTCCTCACTCTCCAATAACCCCTCTGTGTCTACAAGTCATTTCTGGAGTTGTCAACCCAGCAATTCTTTGATCCCACCAAGGTTGAATTCCTACCACCTATTGACAGTACATTTCCTTCATGCCTTCACTTACACAATTTAAATGCTGTTGTCCATCATTATCACCCTGCTCTTCTATCCTGGGCCTTCCTGACCACTCCAGCCCTGGGTAGGTCCCCCTCTCCCCTTCCCTGCACATGCCGCTTTCTTTGCAGTTTCCCTGATTTCTTGCTGCTGCAACACTTCAGTGCTGAGACTGAATCTGCACCTCTTTTCTCTACACCCACTTATTTTGTGATATCATCTATTCTCATAACTTTCAAACAATTTTCTCCCAGAAGCAGAACCTGAAACAAGGCTTTCAAGTGAAAGTAATCAGCAAGAGATTGGGAAAATAAGAGAAGGCAGCCATTGACACGCCTGCTACCAAGCAAACAACAGGAGTTTAATCCCACTCTGGACAATTTGGCAAAAACATGTGACATGGCATTATTCTGCCTGTGGGGCAAGAATATGGGATATTTATATTGCAACTTCCCAGTTACAATATAAATATCCCATATTTATATTGGGCTATTCTAGCACATATTAGGTAGCAGCAAAGCTACAGATGAAGAAATTTTCAGACAACAGTAGCAACTGGCCAGGGGCGAAACACACTGGTAGTCCTAGGATTGGAGCAAGGCATAACAGCCCCTGTAGCAACCACCTATATGCTGATGACTCATAAATGTTTGTCTCCAATCCTAAAACACCCAACTCCTATGCAGCTGCCTGTGGACAACTGGACATCTAGATGCACTTAAATATTTAACAGACATCTGAAACTTAAAATGACCCAAACCATTCTTGCCCCAGAACCCACACCCACTACAGGCTTTCAGTTAATAGCAATTCCATTCTAACAGTTGCTCAAGCAAAAATCTCTCCATTAACATCCTTCATTCTTCTGTTTATCTCACATTTCACATCCAGTGCATCAGTTTAATACTATGGATTCAACTTTGAAAATGCATCCAGAATCAGAGTGTGCCTCGCCACCACTGTCCAGGTCCAAGCCAATACCATCTCTAACCTAAGTGGTCTGAGTAACCATCTAACTGCCCTAACTTATTTCTTCTCTGCACTGTCTGTGCTTAACACAGCAGCCAGTGATCTTTTAAGATGGTAAATCAAGTAAATGTGTTTCTCACAGGGCCATGGGGGAGCAATTCTGAAACTATTATGTACAGATGCTTCTTCATGTACAATGGAGTTACATCCCTCTAAATCTATCATACGCTGAAAATGTAAGTCAAAAATGCACTTATTTTCTGGAGGCTGAGGCAGGAGGATTGCAAGTTCAAAGCCAGCCTCAGCAACTTGTCAAGGCATTTAGCAACTCAGCGAGACCCTATCTCTAACTAAAATATAAAAAAGGGACTGGAGATGTGGCTCAATGGTTAAGCACCCCTGGGTTCAATTATCAGTACCAAAAAAATGCATTTATCACCCCTAACCTACCAACGTCCTAGCTTAGCAACCCAGTGTAGTTGCATAGTATTAGTTTTTTCCCCTTGAGATTACTAGGCTGATTGGGCTGATTGCCACTGCCTAGCACTGTGACAGAGTACCATACAGCATATTGCTAGCCCCAGAAAAGTTCAGTTTAAAATTCAAAATGTGAAGTGTGGTTTCTATCAAATGCATACTGCTTTCACACTATAAAGTCAGACAATCATAAGTCAAACCATCCTAAGTCAGGATCAGTATGTGCTAAAACAATACATATGTATTTTGTAGATAATAAGAATCCAGTGTTCTGAATACATGTATAACATATATTCAGTTAGTAATCAACTAATTTAAATAATCAAAGAAAACCCAGGCTTCATGGATAAACTGATGGTTTCTATCATATTTAAAGAATACCATCAATCCTTTAGAATAAAAAGTTAAAATCACCATAGGAGCCATCAATTCCACTCCTGAGTATATAGCCCAAAGAATCAAAAGTAGGGGGTCTCAAAAGATATATGCACACCTTTGTTGATAGCAGCATAGAAACAGCTCACATATTCATGGATAGATGAATATTGGGTATTCATGTAATGGAATATTGGCCTTAAAAAGGAAGGAAATTCTAACATATGCTGCAATGTTGATGAACTTTGAGGACATTATGCTAAGTGAAATAAGCCAGTCAGCCAAGGAAAAATGCCATTTTATTTCACATATATGAGGTACCTAGAGTAGGTAAATTCATAGAGATCAAAATAAAAGGGGTGTTCCCCAGGGGCTGAGAGAGGGGAGGATGGGGGTTTGTTTAATGGGCACAGTTTCTGTTTTGTAAGATGGAAAGTTCTGGGAGATTGGTTACACAACACTGTGAGTGTACTTAAAAATCCTGAACTATACACTTGAAAATGGTTTAGATGGTAAGTTCTATGGGTGTTCTACCACAACTTAAAGCTTTAAAGGAGACAGAACTAAGTACACACCAGCACAAGCTGGTCTGCACACATATTCTACTTCTGTCCACTGAGGGTGCCTCAGTAATAATGAGCACACCTACTGCCCTAATTATGATCTTGATTTAACTTTTATATAAGGAAATCAGGCTCCTTGGAGAAATGGTTGATTCTAGGGCTGTAGCGTGGAAAAATACAAAAAGAGCCTGGAACACCTTGTGGTACCATTGTGTGTGTGTGTGTGTGTGTGTGTGTTTTCCGAAGAAAAGGGTTTGTTCAGAGAACACAGGACCTCACCTGAAGTAATGTCTTTGAGAAACAAAGACAGTATGACAGTATAACCCATAGAGAAACAAAAACCTGTGAGCACATACTGATATAACAAGTACTTAACCAAAGTGGAGAGAAGGAAATTGAAAAACCACCATCAGGCAAATAACCACAGTAAAAGAGTCATTGATTGGTGCTAACATTTAAGGAGAAATGATTTTATATCGTCTCAAACTATCTCCCTCAATATATTTATTAACTAGAACAAGAGAAAGGTGTTAACTTTATAGTGGAAAAACCTGGCAGAAACCATCTTAACCAAGTCAAGGTCAATACCCAGTGAAGCATGACATGACTCCTAAGACATGATGCACTGAGAAGGACACAACTCCATTTCTGTGATATTCTTGCCAAAAATGTGCAACCTCAATCCAATTACAAAAAAATGCCATAATTTTCTCATAAGACACATCCAAACTGAAGAGCATAACTGGTCAATATTATTAGAAAATACAAGAATTATGAATGACAACACTGAGGGACCATTCCAGACTTCAGGAAACCAGGGAGAATAAA